AAAGCACTTTCACTTTCATTTTACCACTGACTTTTAGCTTACTACATACATGCAGAGTAATTTCAATGAGATAAATAATTAACATATTTTTCCCCTTTACAGCACAGGATGACCTTTATACATAAATGTAAAATACTGACAGCTGAAATGTTGTTGATAGACTGCATTAATCTCTAAGTGTCATGACCTTGTGTGTTTACATAGTAAATGGAGAGGACAGGGAGGTTTGATCAAAGTTCAAGGACAGCTATGTGCTGCTGTTGTATTTGGCTGTGCTGTTAGGCAATCATGTAGTCCTACCAAGTACTCCATGTTTTGAGTAGATAAACATTTTTATTGTTGTGGACAAAAATCTCAAGAGAAATCTGGCCCACAAATTTGTGAGTGATGTGTATCTCCTTCTGGAGGAATGCTCAGTGTCCGATTGCATGACTGATTGTCACTGCAGGGGAGGATACAAGGAAGGAAGAAATCATTAAACTACGCAATCAAAAGTCACAGAGAGGTCTCTCGATGCAATCGGCCTGTCTTAGGTTTTCCTAGAATTCATAACTTGTTAACCCCAAAATCCCCCTTAAAGCTGCTGTCGGTTGAATTTTGAAACGAAAACCTGAATAAATTGCATTTTAAGTATTTAAAAAACAAGCCGTCAGATGTAGCAAATAAATTACAAATTAAAAGTCATGTATGTAACAGGGTCGCCATTACCAAACTTGACCTGGGTGGATCTCACTTCTGAACCTGGAAGAGGATGCAAATATATATTCTGGCTTTGGTAGAATATGTTCACAGTTTTTGGTATCGCAATTATAATCATTTTTGTTTCAGAACATAGAGTGCATTTATTTCTGTTTGCCGTGGTGCAGTGACCGTCAGAGAAGGGAACAGGAGTTTGATTAGACAAGGAAGATGATGATGTTTCCTGTTGAACCTATGTTTCTACCAATATATATTGAGAAGAAAACAACAGGAAACAGCTGAAATACTCATTTTGTCTGAAGATAATTGAATATACAATGAATTAACATTTTTAAAACATTGTGTTTCTGTTGACTCTTGAGACTAAACTCTGCTGCAGTCCCTTAATCTCCTCTAAGACTTTAAGTTAAAAAGAACAGGTCACTTATCACTAACACAAAAAATTACTTCTAGTTACTTATTTTTGGTATCTTTTTGTTATTATTATCATTTTTATTTTCTTTTTACATTTGCTTTATTACAAGGTTTTGTGCTTGTCATGTCTTGTGTGGCTGTTTTACATATGTTATCAGCTTATGAGGGATCCAATCAAACAACAAAAGACAAAAACAGACTTGGGATTTTATGTAAATGTCCATACAACATCAACATAAAAATGCTGGGGTCATGGTTAACCTGCCATACAGAAAATAAGAGAGCATAAAAAAATGAATGCAAGAAGAGATGATTAATTTGAAAATGACTTCAAGGCCTCTCGATGTTCACTTAATCTCTGTTATCGTCTATACTTTGACTGTGTTCAGTTAGAAAAATAGTTATTACTTGTGCATACTTTTACAGCTCAAGCCAAAATTATGTAGGAAACGGACACTGATTCATTTGGCAATGGGAAAAGGGAAGACAGCTCGCCATGCAAACATGCAGGAATGCTATTCATGCTGCTGAGTAATACCGCAGTTGGAAGCCGCCATTGCAGACTGATGGGAATACTTTTAAACTGGGATCATGTCTTGGAAAAATATTCATGTTTCATCCACAGATGAAGCCTGAAAAACTAATTTGGGTTACCCCAGTTAACCTGCCAGACACCGTAGCATAAGCCCCCGCACAAGCAGGACCATGACTTTCAGCAGGGAGAATTTCAGTTTAACTGGGATGCAACTCACAGGTTTGTGTTGATTTTTGTTGGTTTTCTAACCTTGGGGGGACGTACACATTAATTCACTACAGCTGAGACTCTTGGCAGACCTGAGGATAAGAACACTGAGTGCTTGCAGCTGAGATAGTCATCAGGTAGTGCGAGTGCAGACCTATGAGTTAGACTTCCCCAGCTCCTCACGAACATGATGTTGTGCATTCTGTTACACAACAGTAGCCACATCTTCATGGCTGAATGAGTCTTTAAACTATCTGTTAACACGGCACGCAACTGATACAGAAGTTTTTCCTCCCACTGAGGTAGGCATGTCATGCGCATGAACACTCCTACTACAAGACCGACAGGGAACAATGAGGCTTAACACTGTGGTTTGTGTGTGCAGTTCTGAGAGCGATGCCTTATTTCTCCCACATATTGTTTGACAGCTGTGATGAGCTTCTGTGTGTGCACAAAGGCAATTCTGGGGCCGTGCGATATGAAAGTTTTGGCAGATGCGTGCTGAGTGGATAAAACAAAATCATTGACAATATCTGCTCATCTCCAAGCTTTGACCCGACGGGAGCAAGGCCATGGCTGGGTGCGCCTCTCTTATCGCCATATCTTCATCTGTGAGGCCAACCCAGAGCTGCTGGCCAAGCTTTGTTTTTTTTTTCTTCTCCTTTTTGCACCACCATGCCTCTGGGTTTCAGGTGGGCTTTTTGTTCCCTGTGGTAACTGGATGCAGGCTGTGGGCTAAAGAACAATACCGCTTTCAGAGAGCAAGGAAGAAACTGCACGTAGCGATTCCCACGGCATATTATGCAAGGGAACTCCTCATTACCCCTGTTTTCAAGAAAGTGTGCTTACCTCCCTCTCTATAGGCTAAAGGAAACATCCATTTAGAGATCTCATGTTCATCTTCTAAATCAAATAAACACAGTCAACTTAGAAAGAAGTCATTTATGTAACTCACCCACTCGTAAGGTCATCAAGGACATTGTGGTTGTTTTCTTTTCCCTCCCCTGAATGAAATGTTTCTCAAACAATTAATCATGAACTTGTCTTTATGTGCAGATTAAAAAAAAGCATGAAGGAAGAAGAAGATCAGCTAATACTAATGTAAATAAACAGAAAAGGATGATTAAAAAAAATACAAAACTCAATGATTTTTGGCCTTTGCCATAATTCAAGGTCACCTTTTTGGGGATTTGTATTGGACATGATATATGTTGATAACTAGATAACTAGGGAAAATCTATCAGATTAAGCTTGATATCCTTGAAGATCATTTTTTTTAATGCTTTAGTGTTTCTCTGTTTAATCAGACCATGTAAGGACAGTTCTGTGATTGCAGAGTGCAGGTCCAAGGTTTATGCAGTGATAATACGTGTGCTTAGCAGTTTTTTAAATCCTGGAGGACATTCTGCTCAGGCTCACTGCAGAGAGACACTTGTGTGAGTGAAGCATACACAGCGGTGAGTCGTTGTTTGCGCTTATTATTTCAGAATAATTGCTACTAGTTTTACATAAAAGGATTTTTAAAAACTAGTTAGATGACAAAGTCTTTGCACTTTCGTTAGAGATTGTAATTGTAAAGAACATAACATTTTGAAGCAGTTATTATCTGTGTTTTCTAAATGCAGTTCTGGCACATTTGCTATTGTAGTGGACCTTGATCACTCTGTGCCTGATTATTAACTCGCATGTTGAAGCCAAGTTGAGAAAAAATTGAAGTGAGGAATGTTTAAAAACTGAAAAATAAATTGACAGATGCTACAAGTAAAGTTTAAAAAAGGTGACTGCAATGCAAACATTGGAGTGCAACAAGAAGGAAAAAGATCAGAATGGCATATAAGGATGTTGTTTGTGCATTATCCATTTCATATCAAAGCTCATTTTATCGACATGAAGGACATGTTTCACAGAGATAGTTGGAAGATAGGAAAAGGCATGTTCTGTGATTTGTTTTTGTTCTGTTAGAGTGTAGGCTAGTGATGGGATTTCTGGCTCTTTTTAGAGA